AAAAAAAAAAAAAAAAAAAATCTTACAGTGGTACAGAATCATATTATCTGACCACACAGAACCAAATATCTGAAAGAGACACGAAGTGTCCAAAGGAATGCATTTCTGGTCACTTAGGCCAGGCGGCTAGAATCTTTTATGTAGAGGGTCAAATAGTACATATTTTAGAGTTTATGAGCCCCAGTGGTATAGTGGCTTAAGCATTGGGCTGAAAACCACAAGGTTGGTGGTTTAAACCCACCAGCTGCTCTGTGGGGAAAAACTAAGTAAGTTTTAAAAGTGTATTTTGGATGAAAATTTTGCTCATGTCTTCCTTGAAGAATGAGCTCTAAGAAGAATGGGCTCTAAGTGGGCAGTCTGGAGAGGCAGCATGGAGACAGAGGTCACACACCCACTATGCTTTAGTCTAAGATTCCAGCAACTGCCACAGAGCAGTAAAGGACATCAGAAACTCTTGGCCTTGGAAATGCATGGTCATTTCAAATTTTTATTGTCCTCTGGCTATATACAGAACAAAGCCTTAGAAAAAAAAACACAGTCTTATTTTGCGACCATCAATTCTGACAAGATTCTTTATTCCATTATGGTAAAATAATTATGGTCACCTCTGGCTACATTATCAAAGTCTCAAAAGGCATTCACTATTTTAGCCAAATGCACATAGAACTAATTTTTCAAAGAAATCTGTGTAGGAACTGTTATCTTAAGGTTTTGAATTAGAGCCATTTCAATCAGAGGAGGCTTGGTGGCACACTGGATAAGCACAGACTGAAAGGTTCTCTTCAGGAGAAAGATGTGGCAGTTTGCTTCTGTACTAACTGTTGTTGTTAAGTGCCGTAGAGTTAGTTCCGATTCATAGAGACTCTGTATAGGGCTTCCAAGCAGCAGCTGGTGAGCTTGAACCACTGACCTTGTGGTTGAAACCAATTTTACAGCCCAGCACATTTACCCATAGTGCCACACCAGGACTCTGTCTATAATAATTATAGCCTTGCAAACCTCAAGGAGCACTTCTATTCTGTTACTGTGAGTCAGAAATCAACTTGATGGCAATGAGATTGGTTTGTTTCCATACACACAGTGTCTCTATATCAGAGTTCAGAAGGTGTCTTCCAATAACTTTTGGGACTGAAAAAAAAAAGGTCAAAAGACATACTCTAGTAGGAAAGCACAATACACTTGTAAATCAATCACCAAAACCTAGTGCATAGTCCTCAGAGATTAGACAGTCATCAAACAGGCCCCAACGACTCACATTTGGAGAGCATTAGGTATTAAACTGTGCCCCACCCCCAGAAAAAGGATGTTGTATTCCTTACTCCTGCATCTTGTTCATGTGACCCTGTTAAACACAGATGTATTATGTTGGTGAAGTCATACACAAGTAGGTTGGGTCTTAAATCTAGTCTCTTCTGAATGGTGTTTTACAGAAAGGGCACACTCAAGGAGAAGACACACACCATATCACAATGGTGAAAGAAACAGTTACAAGTCCGGGCACATCAAGGATTGCTGGCACTGTGGGTTAATGCACCAGACTGCAAAGCTGTTTGAACTGCAAGGTCGGCGGTTCAAGCTCACCAGCTGCTCCCCGGAAACCCTATACATGGTCACTATGGGTCGGAATTGACTCAACGGCACTTAACAATAACAACAACTAGAACCTGAAAGAGGATCTTCCCATAAAGATAATGCCCTGAATTTGAACTTCTAGTCTTATGAAATACAGGACAAATTTCTGGTCATTAAAGTCATTCACTTGTGGTATTTTCTGCTACGCTATCTGGTGTGGCATTGTAGGATAAGCACTAGACCATAAGGTTTGTTTAAACTGCAAAATCAGCAGTTCAAATTTACCAACTGCTCCTCTGAAGCCCTATAAAGGGTTGCTATGAGTTAAAACCGACTGGGCAGCATCGCACAACAACAACAGGTATGTAAGGGTCAAAGGTTTTGCACAGGAATTGGTTGAATGCCTTCAAAATAGCTCTAGATTGCAGAGATAAATTTTAGAAAGAGTCATACTCTATCACACACCATTACCTGGTAACAGAATTTGGCTGTCTATTGCTCTGTGCTTGCACAGAACTTGGTTTAATTCATTTTCATACCTGTCACACGGAATGAAAATGATTTATTAATCTCTTACTCTTATCAGACTTAAAAGCTTGTTGAGAGTGGGATGCATACCTTACCTATAGTTGCCTGGCATGACACTTGGCTACCACTAAAAAACATGAGCTAAATACATGGATACAGGAATCACTTGTATTCAAGACTTGATATTCTCCCTACAATGGGAAACAGTCTTATCCAAAAGCCATTTTCAATAACCTCATATGCATGCGAAAACTGGACAGTGAATAAGGAAGACCGTAGAAGAATTAATGCTTTTGAGTTATGGTGTTGGAGGAGAATATTGAAAGTGCCATGGGCTGCCAAAAGAACCAACAGATCTGTGTTGGAAGAAGTGCAGCCAGAGTGCTCCTTGGAGGCCAAGATGGCCAAACTTCGTCTCTCATACTTTGGACATATTGTAGGAGGGACCAGTCACTGGAGAAGGATATCATGTTTGGTAAGGTGGAGGGTCAGAGAAAAAGAGGAAGACCCCCAGAGAGATAGATTGGCAAAGTGACAGCATCAATGGGCTCAAGCATGGCAACAATTGTGAGGTTGGCTCAGGATTGGGCAGTGTTTCGTTCTGTTGTGCATAGGGTTGATATGAGTTGGTACCGACTGGATGGCACCTAACAACAACAATCAAAAGCAATGCAAGTCCTGTGTCAGAAACTAGAAGAATACAAAATTGAAATGTGGCAGTAGCTGCCATATTTCTTCCTTATAAAGAATATTACATCCAGTTTCAAATCCTGGTGTGGTGCTGCAGGATAATATACTAGACCACAAGGTCAGCTTGAATCACAAGGTCAGTGGTTCAAACTCACCAGTCGCTCCTTGGAAATCCTATACAGGTTTGCCATGAGTCAGAACTGACTTGACAACATTTAATAACAACAAATTACCTAGTTTCTAGAAAATGCACTTTCTGCAGGCTTATTATATGAGTTTTCTTTGAGTAACAATATTTGTGAGAGTTGCTAGTTAATGGAATTTAAAACTAAGATTTTATATGGTCAGGATTTCTGTCTGCCTCTTCCATCTTCTCTGTTAAGGAAGGCGAGAGGGAAGGAAGGTGGGGGGAAGGGACAAACAAGAGTATGGAGGAGGGAAAGTAAAGTGTGTGATTTTATATTCAGTATATACTGCTGGGCAGATATTATTCCAGATGTTTTACACGTATCATTTCATTTAATCTTCACAATTAACTTGAGGAAGTTATTATTTTTCTCATTTTATAGGCAAGGAGATGGAATGATATGAAGGTTAAACACTTTATTAACATCATACTATGAGTAATTTGTGATAGGATCATAATGTAGAATCATAAAAAGAGCAGTAATTATTATTGGGTGGTATGCCAGGCACTAGCAAGTCTTACATATATTATCTAATCAATCCTCCTAATAACCTGAAAAATTTTTATCCCCCTTTACGGATGAAAAGAATTGAGTATTGACAAGATTAAATAACTTACCAAGGACAACAATTTATGCTGCTGAATGGAATTTGAAACTCTACCAGCTACCTAACCTCAAATTGTTTGACTACACCTTATTGTCTTGCCTTTGAGGTGGAATCCTAAGCATTTTTGAGCTTTATTCACCAACTGCTATGTAAAGCTAGCCTTTTGTCCAATTCACTAACTTTTGGGTACTAGGGAATCCCCTTAAAGTCTCCACAGAAGATACACCCATTATGTATACTAACTCTGGGGCTATCTCCTCTACAAGACACATAGTCAGGGGCTACGGAACTCTCTGATCCAGAGAAAGGAATGTCCACAGCCTTGAACAGCCATGGATGTTCACTTGCAACCAACAAACAACATCTAAACATCATTGTCTTGCGGAACTCATCTTTAGCAGAACGTTTTCTCCAAACTCACCATCTCCCATCTCATCAGAAAAGGGGAGGCTAAAGACAGCTTCGTCAATCATCCGGTTGGGAAGGTTAGTATAGAACCTGCCGACGGTGGTCTCCAGATTGCTCAGTTGGTTCAGCACCATCATGCTGCCCTTCATCACAGGCAAGCATGTCCGGTCTGGAATACCATACTTCCCTGAATTCTGTTCAGCCAGATCTCTCAGAAAAGCCAGTTCTTTCAAACCAGTTACCCCATCTGAAATGGAAAGCCAAGAGAAGACAATGTGTAAACCGAAATAGCTTATAGCCATACCATATGGTGCCACTGAGAGCTAATTAAGGCATGGAGGAGGTCTTGCCGTGCCCACAAGGGCATGCAGGCGGCTTTACAAGGAAAATAGAGACTCAGGATGCAGAGTGTCTCCTGCTGAGGGACAAAGCTAGACGCCTGGCCTTTTCCTCAAACAGTCAAGAGGGCAAAGGAATTCTTCAAAAGGCAATGATGAAAAACACATAAGTCAATAAAGGAGTCCCGTTCAGTCATGTTCAGTCATGAAGTGTTCTCCTTGAAAAGTTTATTTGTAAAATGTATATCATTTCTCTGCATTTAATATTTGAAAGCACAAGTAATGATGAAAAAATCTGCATTGAATTTAAATTAGTAGATGAAGTTTTAAAGGTTAGAGGTTTACCATTTCTTGCTTTACCTTACCTTGTGCCTGTAAAACACTTTCCAAAGTCTCATGAAATGGAAAAAAGGGAATTATGGGCTGCATTTATTGATGCCCCAAACCCTGTTACTTTACGCTCATTTTAACTACAAACATTTTCAAGTTTGATATTGTTAGGATAATACTGGATTTGATTTATTTAATGTATTTTGTTTTACATTTAGAAGGTTTGAAAAACTTGTTATAAAGGATTCAGGTATAGTGGGATGTATTGTTCTACAACATCTGTAATCAATAGTACAGAAATAAAGTTAATAAATCTTTTTTTTTTTTCTTAAAGTCTGCTATTGCCAGAACACAGTCAAAAGGATTAGTAACTGAATGCATATGGGTATGGGTACCACTGTAAACAAATTCAAATGATTTCAGTCACCACTGAGATTTTACCAGTTAGCTTAAAAAGAACCATCATGTTCTTGATGGTTTCAATAGCAAACACGAGCTGCTCAGTAATTTAAAAGAATCTGAAGCAACCACAGTATCTATATCAACTACTCCATGCATCTTCATTTCTAAATGGGAAGTGAACACACTTTGAGCTTTGCTGGTCCATTTCTAAAGATGTGGTGGAATCTAATGGATCTATGAAGGGACTACAAAAAATTCATGGAAAATTGGAATGAAAAGATAATGGAATTTTTCTACAAACTTTTTGAAACCTACTCATATTTTGTTTTGTAAAAAATGTATACTAAAAGAACGTGGTTTTCACTTCACTCGTGCAATGCTAAAAGAAAGGGGGAAATACATGAGCTAAATTAAGTCAATATCAGGTTACTTTTTGTTCTCTTTGATCAGCACAGGGCAGAGCTGGGGGAGGTTGAGTGGGTTCTCTCTGTAAAGGACAAACACAAACAGCATGACTGATTCCTGGCTTTCTACCCTTGAGCAGCTTGCCAAAGGCAGATGATAAGAGGAGGTGATTTAAGAAATAAACACATCCTTCCTTTGTCATGTATTGTTTGACTTTCTCAAAATGCAAAAGAAAAATGATGTAAAAACTTGAACATCTAGGCAAAAGGAACTGTGTGCGATGGAAGGTTATCAAGGATTGGGCATTTTGTGCCAGCCCATCATAAAATGTTAAGCAACAGAGTGACAGGTTAAGTTGTGCTGGGTTGTTCTACTGCCAACATGACTATGCTGGGGACTACATTTCCCAGAATTTCCTTCCCTATATGCTTCCAGGTTAAAGTTGGCCAAAAGGGAAGTGGTGTGAAATTTGGGAGGCAAAGTGAAAGATGGTGAGAGACAAGTCAAGAGATACTGAGGATTAAAGGATCTACCCCCCTTTTTCTTGCTGTATACAGCTCACTCCCAACTGCTGACTTACCAGTAGCAACCCAGGAAAACTCACCCAGGTAGCAGCTAGAAATTCAACAACTTCCCAGACTTCTCTAATAGGCCTGCTAAACGGCCTTGTCTCTTACAGTGGGGTGTTCCCAAGCTTCCAGAATTCTCTGTAAGTCCTGATTTGCTCACCTACGCTAGAGCTGGTTACGACATTTTCTCTGAATTGCCTTTTTACCTTGACCTTTATTTCCTCAGTCGCTCCCACATTTCTTTATAAACTAATTCTGATAATAAATTCTCTATTCTAAAGTTCTCAAGGTGGTTCTGTCTCCCAATTTAAACCATGACTGATAATACAAGAAAATGAGTCTACTTGAGTGAACAATACTCAGAGATGACATTTGAAGAGAGAACAGTGTGGCAGTGAGAATATCTGGCTAGTTTAAAGGGAGAAAGAGAAGAGATAAGGATGGTTAGAGGGATTAAATAGAGGTTTTTAAGGATAGAATTCTCTGGGCGCCAGCAAGTGCACAAGAGACAGACAGGAAGATTTAGAAGAATGACAGATGATAAATAGCAAGCAAGGAGAGAAAGAAACTACAAGAGAATAGAGCAATAGCCAACACTCAAGGACTTGTACCATAGGCAAACATAGGCCATCCACATCTGTGCCCCATCTTGTGCTAAGAGCTCAGAATACAAAGAAAAATAAGATTTATGCCTACAAAGTTCACATTCTTAGGGAAGGGAAGAAAAATATGTGGACACAATACTTTATATGCTGGACAAAAGAAAGCACAAGATACTAGGGACACAGAAACTGAACAAGAGAGCTAGCCCTGGACCAAATGCTAGTTAGAGATGCTAAAGAAGTGCCTCCAACTCTGACCTACCTGTACTGTCTGAGACAGGCAATCACACAATCTTTCATCCCCTTATTCGACTGGCTTTGTTGTTGTGAAGTGCCATCAAGTTGATTCCTAACTATAATGTCCCTGTATAGGATTTCCAAGGAGCAACTGGTGAGCTTGTACCATCAACCTTGCAGTTCAGATGACTTTGCCATCTGCCGCATTAGCCCACAGTGCCACACCAGGACTCCTTGAGGACCTATTATTTACCAGTTGGTGCTTCAGGTCAATGTACTGGACTGCAAGGTCAGTTTGAACTGCAAGGTCAGCAGTTCAAGCTCATCAGCTGCTCCTTGGAAACCTTATACAGGGTCATTATAACTGACTCAATGGCATTGAACAACAGCACAGTTAAGGAGTTGGCTTCAAGCGTGGCACTGTAGGACCAACACTGGACTGTGAACCACAAGGTCAGCAGTTCAAACCCACCAACTGCAATGAGTTAGAACTGACTCAATAGCACTTATCAACAACAACAATGCTAAGAAGTATTATTTACCAGATACTATGATAAGATGGAATTCTGGTGTGGTGCTGTGGGCCAATGCGTCAGACTGCAACGTCGTTTGAACTGCAAGGTTGGTGGTTCATGCTCACCACTTGCTCCTTGGAAACCCTCTATAGGGCCACTGTGGGTCAGAATCGACTTGATGGCACGTAACAACAACAATGCTAAGAAGTCCTGGTGTGGCATCAGAGGATAAAGCACTGGACTGCAAGGTTGTTTTGAATCACAAGGTCGGTAGTTCAAAATCACCAGCCACCATGTGGAAACCCTGTACAGGGTTGCTACGAGTCAGAACTGACACGATGGTACTTTACAAAATAACAACAACAATATAAGAAATGCTATAGAAGTTTGGAGTCCTGCTGTAGTGCTGTAGGATAAGTACTGGACTGCTAACCAGAAGGTTAGTGGTTCAAATCCACCAGCTGCTTCTTGGCAACACTGTATAGGGTTATTGTGCATCAGAACCAACTCAACAACAACAACAACAGCTAAGAAGAAGGAGCCCTTGTGGCCCAGTGATTAGTGCTCAGCTGCTAACTGAAAGGTCAGAGGTCCAAACCTACCAGCCATTCCACAGGTCATACAGATTTACACCCTGGAAAGTCCATGGAGAAGTTCTACTCTGTTCTGTGAAGTCTGACTATGAGTTGGAATTGACTTGATGGCAACAAAGTTTGAATTTGTGGTTTGGTGCTAAGAACTTTGAACATATCATATTTTGTTTATTATCCCAAAAACCTCCTGAAGAAAATTTCACTATTCTTATTTTACAGATGAAACTGATGTCTACAGAGATTTCAGAATTTTCCAAAAACCACTTAGTGAGTAAATGCAGAGTAGAACTCAGGATCACGGGACACTAGAGCCTGTCTGCTCCCTGGTGTGGCCTACAGATCACCTGGAAAAGAAACACTGCTGGTTGGAACACAGATGCTGGACTCCACATCAGAGAAGGTCTGCAAAAGAATCAAAGGGCTGGGCCTTGGAATCTGCATTCAGAAAAACAACTCAAGTGATCCTTAGTTACTTACTGCCCTCACATCGATTCCAACTGATGGCGACCCATAGGACAGAATAGAACGGTTCCCTAGGGTTTCCAAGACTGCACATTGTTATGGGAACAGACAGCCTGCTCTTGCTCCTGTGGAACAGCTGGTGAGTTTGAAATGCTTACCTTGTAGTTAGCAGCTCAATGCTTAACCCACTGTGCCACCATGGCTCCTTAATCGCCACATCAAAGTCTCTAAGAACCATGGTTCCTAACACCCCACAGCTCTCTCCACAGAAATTCAGAAGCACAGACATTTTAAAAAGCACACATAGGTTGAAAGGGCTGTTGACTCAAGATACGGTCTCTAAAAACAAGAGCAGATGGCCACCTGAGGGTTAGAGGCCTGAAGAAGAAGGTTCTGTAGAAGAAAAGCAAGGTAGTAAGGGGTCGGTAGAGACAACACTGCAGAGAGCCTCAAACTAAGGACAGTTTCCTAAATAAGTCTTTTTACATACACTGTCTCATTTAAGAACAACAAAATCAACTGTTGTTAGGTGTCTTCAAGTTGTTGGACATAAGGGCATAGCAGACTAGCCCCCTCGGGTTTCCGTGATGGCACTCTTCATAGAGGCAAAGTGTCAGGTGTTTTCTTCAGTGAAACCTCTGGCTTTATTCCAACCACTGACCTCCCAGCAGCTAAACACCTAGCCAATCAGGGCTCCACATATTCAACGAGCACCATTTACTGAACAGAAGCCAGGATGGCGAGACTGTCTCTCAGACTTCAGACATGTTATCAGGAGAGAACAGTCCCTGGTGAAGGACATAATGCTTGGTAAAAGTGGAGGGTTAGCCATCCAAGCCAAGGTATTTTCAGTTGCTTAATATGCATGTGAAAGTTGGACAATGAATAAAGAGGACTATAGAAGATCTGATGCATTTGAGTTATGGTGTTGGATAAGAACCATGGACTGCCAGGAAGACAAACAAGTCTGTGTTGGAAGAAGTACAACCAGAGTGCTCCTTAGAAGCCAGGGTGGCGAGACTTCGTCTTTCATACTTGGACATATTATCAGGAAGGACCAGTCACTGGAGAAGGACATCATGCTTTGTAAAAGTGGAGGGTCAGCGAAAAAGAGGAAGACCCCCAACAGATGGATTGGCACAGTGGCAGCAGCAATGGGTTCAAGCTTAACAACAATTCTGAGGAAGGCACAGGACGCTTCAGTGTTTTGTTCTGTTGTACACAGGGTCACTATGAGTCAGAACCAACTGGACAGCACCTAACAACAACAGCAAGTGCTAGCCATGGTCCTGGGAGTTTAATGTACATTTCTGAGCTTCATGACAACCTTAGAAAGTAGATCATTCATATCTCCATTTTATAGATCAGGAAGCTGAGGTACAGAATGTGGCAGAGCAGGCATCAGATTAAATTCACAGCCTTGAATGTAGGACAGTGGTTTGGTTTCTTGCATCTTAAACGAGTGAGAAAAATGAGTAACTTCCATAAGGTATCAAACCCTTAGCTAACTGGAATATGAAGGAGAACTGGTATAGATGGAGACATACCAAATCTTCTGCAAGGTCACATAGCTGTAGAAGGTTGTAAAATAAGCAATTGGTTAGAAAGAGAGAGAGATGAAGAGAAAGTGTCATCCAAACATGTGGCCCAAATCCCAAAGTTAGCTACAGAAACAGATGCATGGGAAAGAAGTTGCTTGGTTACCTCTCTCTGTATACACTTCATCAAAGCACATCGGTGCGGTTCTTTATAAAACAGCAGCATACACTTAGAGGAAAACATTCATCTGAGAGAACACTCTCAAAGTACTACCTACCGTTCATGAGGGCATAGGTGAGAATCATCACAGAGTTGTTTAAAAAGCTATTTTCTTCATTGATGACTCGGAGAGTAGCCTTTTTATCTTCTTCTGAGGAGACCTTTGATGTAATGCCAGCTGACAGGTAAATTATGACCATGTCTGTATCTAAACAAAAACACATAAATTGAATGTTACATTTAGATTCTGCCTAAAGGCGATAGTTCAGTTTCTATTTCATTTTCCCTGGACTTTTCTGCCTCAAGGACCTGCCTGGTCCACTGTTTCTATTCCATCCTAGTCCATGCTGTGACTTTCATCTCTTTGCATCTGTTTCTCGCCCATCTGCCCTTTGTAGACAATGAGGCTTCATTTATCCAGTGCCAGGTAAAGCCATATTCTTAATACATTTGCCAGATAAAAGAAGGCAGTTTCCTCTAGACACCCTCAGTTGTGGGAACTTAACAATCCTAAATGGGAATTTTTCCTGCTTTCTGATATGGAGAACACTATCTAACATCTTCCTAGTGTTATGGATTCAATTGTGTTCTCCCCAAAATGTGTGATGGAGTCCTGACCCCTATCCTTGTTTTAATGAGGTCTTATCAGTAGTACGTATGCTATATCTAATCACTTGAAATAAAAAAAACCAAAACAAATAGTATAGACACAGAGACAAACAAGTGTAAATACGGGAAAGACATGTATCACATGAAAATTGCCAAGGAACGGAGGAACAAAGGGGCTAGAAAAGCAGGGACAAGGTTTTCCTCCAAAAGTTGACAGAGAGAGAACACTCCCCATTAGAGCCTCAGACCTGAATTTGGACTTCAACCTTCCCACAGGCAAGAAATAAATTTCTGTTCATTAAAGCCACTCACTTGTGGTATTTCTGCTACAGCATCACCGAGAAACTAAGATGGTCAGTTACTACGGATCACCACTATGGACAAGCATTTTGAACTTGAAGACCCTATGGGGCAGTACTACTCGGTTCTATAGGGTGGCTAAGAGTTGGGTTAGATTCAATGGTAATGGACTTGGTTGGGGGTTTTGGAGGCTTTAAAATGGGGTTGCTCCAGGGGCTCTTGAGGAATGAAAAGTGACTTGGTTCTATGTAAGTATCTCTAGTTATACTTTTGTTTTTAAAAAACACAATTGGTATAGTTGAATTATAAAAACCTGAATCATTGAGCCAGGTTGTTGTATCCCAGCTCTGCTACTTAACAAGCAGTGTTTGGGTAATATAAACACATTCCTTAATTTCTCTACACCTACATTTCTTTGCCTATAAGATAGGAATAATGATCACACTTATTGAGTAGGGTTGTTGTAAGGACTAATCAGTTAATTTAAGTGATGGGTTTAAGTAAACGAGTGATTGACAAATGGAGGGAAAGAAAAAAGAAAGAAACTCTAACACACACAAAAAAAGTCAAAGCCAAACCCTCCTATTGTTCTGAGTAGCACTTATGACTCAATATTAAAACCACACTCCAAGGGGAGTAGTTCATCTTACAGTCCAGGAACTGAGGACCCTAAGACCATTAAGGGGAAGAGCATGAGTGGAATGTGAGACCCTATCCAGAGAAGCAGCGACACCAGAAATGGGGGCAGAGATGGGGACAGGGAGAGAGAGAGCAGATGAAGACTCTGTTGTTGTTAGGTGCCATTGAGTTGGTACCGACCCATAGCGATCTTATGCACAGCAGAACGAAACACTGCCTGATCCTGGACCAACCTCACTACTGTTGCCATGCTTGAGTCCATCAATGCTGCCACTTGGACAATCCATCTTATTGGGGGTCTTCCTCTTTTTCTCTGATCCTCCACCTTACCAAACATGATATCCTTCTCCAGTGACTGGTCGCTCTTGACAATATGTTTGAAGTATGAGAAATGAAGTTTGGCATCTTAGCCTCCAAGGAGCACTTTGGCTGCACTTCTTCCAAAACAGATCTATTGGTTCGTTTGGCAGCCCATGGCACTTTCAATATTCTCCTTCAACACCATAACTCAAAGCATCCATTCTTCTACAGTCTTCCTTATTCACTACCCAGCTTTCGCATGCATATGGGATTATGGAAAATACCATGGCTTGGATCAGGCTCACCTTAGTCCTCAAGCTGACATCCTTGCTCTTCAACACTTAAAAAAGGGTCTTGTGCAGCACATTTGCCTAATACAATATTTCATTTGATTATCTTGATCCGTGAGTGTTGATTGATCCAAGAAGAATGAAGTCCTTGACAACTTCAATCTTTTCTCCGTTGATAAGAATGTTGTTCACTGGTCCAGTGGTGAGGATTTTTGTTTTCTTTACATTGAGTTATAATCCACACCGAAGGCTGTGCTCTTTGATCTTCATCAGTAAATGCTTTAAATCCTCTTCACTTTCAGCAAGCAAGGTTGTATCATCTGCATATCGCAGGTTGTCAATGAGTCTTCCTCCAATCCTGATGCCACGTTTTTCTTCATAGAACCCAGCTTCCCAGATTATTTGCTCAGTATACAGGATGAATCAGTATGGTGAAAGAATACAATCTTGTCGCACACCTTTTTAAATTTTAAACCATTCAGGGTTCCCATGTTTTGTTCAAACAATTGCTTCTTGGTACAGGTACAGATTCCTCATGAGCACAATTAAGTGTTCTGGAATACTCATACTTCGCAGTGACTCTAGACTCATGGAAAGAGAAAAGCTGTGTGCTGGTGGCCAGGAGGCAGGCTTGCAGAATGTGTCCTTTGGTTGTTTAAATTATTGCATATTCCTGAGTATTTTGGTGTACATTCCCTTGCAAAACAAAAAAACCCAACAAAACCAAAAATGGAATAGAAGCAAATACTGTTAAATGATGATGCACGGAGGAGCTTAAAACGATGAGTGGAAAACCGATGTGCTATGTAAACTATCACTCAATACACAACAAAAACATTTTAAAAAAAACAAACAAAAAAACTATTCTCCAAATAGAATTCATTAGTAGAGAAGTACGTTTGCCTCACTGTGAAGAACTTTCTGCCAAATAGATCTACTAAAAAATAAACGTGATGATATAAATCACTGGAAACTTACAAGCAGAGACTGAATAACCACTTTTAATAAACGGAGGGAAGGGAAGAGCGCTTGGCTTATACATTAGCTTTCTAATAAGAGATGATTTGAGTCTCTCTATTTATGTGGTGATATAGGTTCAGAACCGAATTGTGAACCACAAGGTGGGCAGTTGAAATCCACCAGCTGTTCCTTGGAACCTCTATAAAGGGCTACTATGAGTCAGAACCAACTCAATGGCACTAAACAAGAACTACAAAAGTTTATCTTTTTATTTATGTTTAATATGATATATGCTCATTTCTTCAGCTTCCTATTTTTGTCATTTAATTGATGGTTACTTTATAATTACTATGGTAGGTAACCTCCAAGTCGGCCTCCCAAAGATCCTGCTTCCTGGGATTCATGTCCTTGTGTAGTTGCCGCCACATGATGTGGTATGCATTTAGTGGAGTCATTTCTCATGACTGGAATGCTGCAGAGGTGAAGGGATGTCAAGAGCAAGATAGGCTTACAAAAAGACTGTGGCTTCCTCCTTGGGGGATACCTCATTCTGAGGAAATCTAGCTAGTATGCTCTGAACTGTCCTCTGGAGATACAAGGTTCTCAGTCATACCAGCCACTACAGGAGTGAGGCTGGGAGTGGACCCACCCTATTTGAACTTGAGATGATGGAAGCCTTGGTTGATGTTTTGATGGCAACTTCATGAGAGATACCAAGCCAAAGCATCCCACTATGGTAACCTACAAAGACTAAGATAAAAATAGTTTGCTGTGTTAAGCTACTAAAAGACGGGATCATTTGTTACATAGTCATAGATATGACTAACCTTTAACAAATTACCCTCATAATGATGAAGATGCATGCAATGCTTCAATTTTCCATTGGTAAAATTCTATATTTTTAACTTTTGATGTCTTTATTATGCAAATTGAGTAATGAATTTAGTCTATCAATTCTGTAGACAACTGAATAGAGTAATAAGAATAATTATAACATTTGTCTCAAAGAAATAAATGCATTCAAGGTTTCTATCTCTTGCTCACCGTTAAGGCTTAGTATTCAAACAAGTTTTAAAGCTAATTTTGATGCTTGAATAATTTACTAAATGACATTAACTACAAATTTAAATTGTAATAATTAAATAATCACCAAAGTTTAAATGGATGCTGATGCAAAGCAAAGCAAAACAAAACAATGCCATAAGCTTATTATAGGAATATTTCTGTTTTAAATTAGGTGACCATTTTTTTCAGTGTTGTAAATGATTTCATCAGGATCCTAAAGGTCTCATTTAAATTTCAGACTCATGAGAAAAAAAAAAAAATACTGTTTGACTCCCAGTGGGGGGAAATCAAATATATTCGCAGACCTATCTATGTTGTTGTTAAGTGCTGTTGAATCAGTTCTGACTCACAGCAACCCTGTATAGGATTTCCAAGAAGCAGTTGGTGGGTTTGAACTACCATCCTTGTGGTTCGTAGTCCAGTGCTGATCCTACTGTGCCACATCAGGTCTACCTATAATATGAGGAAACCAAACCCCAAACCATTGCTGTTGTGTCAATTCCAACTCATAGCAACCCTATAGGACACAGTAGAACTGCGCCATAGGGTTTCCAAGGCTACAATGCTTACAGAAGCAGACTGCCCCACCTTTCCTCCACACTGAGGCTATGGGTTCAAAGTGATGATTTTTTTATCAGCCAGGTGCCACCAGGGCTGTATTCTCCCCACCGTGAAGGACATCATGAAGAAGCAATTACTGCACAAACTTGGTTGACTGGTCTAAAAGTGAACTCTGAGTTTTCTCATTTTGCTTTATGATTCTGGATGAAACTCTCTGAGAGCTAGATTGAGTGCACAGACTTGTGTTTGGAAGTGAGAAGGCCCACAGCACACAGGCTCCTGTAGGAACCATACCCATTTTCTTTCTGTGCCAACAGTAAGACACACTCTAAGCATCTGTCCTTACCCTGGCACCTGACTCCACTCCCACTCCATCCACATGCAAAGTCTTCTTTCCATTCTTAGATATCAGGCCTGTCAAATTTGGTCAGATTTATTATTTTTTTTACTTATCAGCACACTTCTTCCCTACTTATCAGTTAGT